ACGATCTTCTCAACTCTGGCATTATCATTAACATCATAACCGGTCATATTCGAAATAAACCGACGGATATCTCTATGTTCTCCATGCGACGTAGACATTTCAGAATTATCCATTATAACCTTGTGACTGACGTCAATGACGCAGCGCTTGATTCTAAATAGTCTAGCAACGACACTGTAGAATGTTTTAGGAAAGCAACATAGCATAATCGATAGAGTTATGAAAGTAATGATAAATATGCCAACACTAGCTAAAATACTACATAACATCCAGTTTCTGAATGACCATGCCATTTTGTCTTACAGAAAGAATTATCTAGAAATAAATCATAGGCGTTTGTTGGACAGCACCCACTTTTAAAGAATCGAAGATAAAAATAGATACAAGACCGTGCTATTAAATGTCAAAGCACGTTTTTTCAATGATTGGCTATAGTATCATTCGTATGGAAAAAATCGACCGTTAGTTGCCTATAATGGACACAAAATTAGTTGAAGTTGATGAAGAACGGCTAGCGGGCATCAATCATCAGAGAAAGGACTATTCTTGTTCGCATAGAACCTTTTATTTCTCGATCTCTTCGTCTTTTATATAAACGTGCAACTCGCCCATGGATACATTAGTAATCCTAGGAGAAATTTGTCCACTGCTACTTACTACATTCTATGATGTAATGCTAGCTTTTATCTGAAAATAATGGTAAGAAGCACAAATGAACTACCAGAAACACTTAATTAAAAGACATTCACATTCGCCTGTCGTTTCCCACGTTGAATTTTTTACAAGAATGCAAGGTAGTCAAGTACAGACTGATTTGTGAGCAATTGTAACAGTGTAACTCTTTCTTATTTGAATGAAGACCATACATTTTCTGTTCTTTATTTTGGGTGGGGCGTGGGTGTGTGAAGGATGAGTATGGGATTTTGTGAAAGTATGCAGACCCATGACGTTCTCCTATGGCACATTCTTTCGGATGTTCCAGCATGTTTGTAGCATAGTGTATTTTTCGTATATCGCAACAGGGACAAAAGAGAAAAATCTGGAGCTTTCCTTTGAAAGATGCGCCGTCGAATTCTCCAGAAACTTCTACCTACTTTAGTTTAAAATAATAGACCTGAATGTTTTCGTAGGTCATATAGTGGAATTTTATAAGATGTATCTACTTCTCACACATTTTTACTTTGTTTTTTCTTATTCCCTAGACTGTGAGGATAGGGTCTAGAAACGGAAATTGATCTGTCTGCACGTATATCGTTTTTGTTGGTAACATGGTACAAATGACCATTTTTTGGCGCAAATGACCATTTTTTGAGGCAACGACCACGTATCTATGGCACGAGTGATCATTTTGGTAAATATGGTACAAAAGACCATATAGCACCCATATTATTAATCAGCATATGACGTATAATAAAATTTTGACAAGTGAACCAGAACAAATACGTAATTTTATGACGTATGAAAACGATATTATGTTAAATATGATTTTTTTGAGTATAAACAGCGCTAATTTTATTAGCGCTGTTTTATACTCAGAAGAATTTTAGTATTAACTTTTTAGTCTTAATCTTATAACTTTCTAACACATGTGTGTCGTTATGGCGTCAGTCTAAGGCCAGGTGAATCGACTGTCGGTGAACGTTACTTGTTTTCTTGACGGTATAAATAAGCATCTAAAAGACTGAGTCTTGGGATTTCGATTAAATAACAAATGCTCTCTCAGAATAATGTGAACGCATTTGATTACAATTCAATTCCACCGAATGAGGACAACCTAGCTGTGTTGCTACAATAAAAATATATTTTTTTTCAGTATACAAGTTTTCATTCCAGGCGGTTCGTACATTATTGCATGTTATGTGACTTGCAATTAGCTAGGAAAGTCCGTTTTCTAAAAATTCTGCATAAAGAAACTCGTTTTGTTCGCAGGTGAGATTGGTACGATGCTTGTCTCGGAAAAGACAAAAAGAGAGAAAATGTTGCCATTCAGAAAACCTGGTTCTGTGGAAAATGCTTTCCAATCAACAAATGAAGCAATGGAGAACATTGCATATATGCACAATTAGCAGCGACTTGCAAGAGCTATGTAACAGTGAGTTGTGTTTTTGAAACTAAATATTTGTTCATATGAGAAGGATAAATTACCAATAGCAGTATGATGGAAGTAGACGCATTTCGTGTAATCTCACTATGTGATCTATAAAAACAGTCAGTTCTATTGTTTAAACGAAGATAGATGGAAATTTGTTGCGAATTCGACAGGGCATCTTTGTATAGGAAAATCACGATTTTTCATTTGTCTGTGCTGCGATGTGCTAAAAACGAGTGATGTCACAAACATTCCGGGACACCCATATCTACACCCCACACCATAAAGTTGAAGATTTTTGGCAAAATAATCTCAAAAGACATAAATGTTGGACGTTTTTGAAAAACCAGAGCCTTCAAACAATTCGTAACTTGGAAGAAACGGAACGACTTTTCCCTTGTTCAATTGAGTCCCGGTGTAGAGAAAGATAGGAAATCCGTCAGAGTAAATGGCGAAAGTTTGTTCTGTTGTTTACAAGACTCACCTCTCGAGTGTATGTCGTCGTCAAAATAGAATTGAAAATGACTTGAATGTTTCTTGCCGAGAAAAAACATACACTTTTCTCTCGTGTGCGCCTTCGCTCTCTCTTACTTTCTCTTACTCCCTCATTCTCTCAATCTCTGTGGCGCATTGATTTTTTTTGCAAACGCAGTCAAAAGCCGTACACTATACTTGAGCGAATTCTTGTTATTCGACTCAGGGTGTGGGGTGTGGGTGTGGTGTGGTGTGGTGTGGGGCCAATGTAGATGTGAATGTGGGTGCGGGTGTGGATGAGAATACATCCCATTCCGCGATGTTGAACATTCCGGAAACAGTTCCCGTCCCGGAATCAATTCCACCGATTCCAGCATCATTTACAACAGATCCTATCGATTTCGGAATCGCTCAGCATTGGCATCACTCTCATCTCCTGAGGCTTATAACTGCATCTAATTCCGGGTATTGGACCGATCCGGAATCGCAACCATTTGGAAGAAATTCCGCGGAATTCCTAGTGATTCCGGAATCGCTCAGCTTTGACATCACAGTCATCGGCTGAGGCTTACAACTGGATGTAATACCGGGACGGAATTCCGGGTATCGTACGAATCCGGAATCGCAACGATTTGGAAGCAATTCCGCGGAATTCCTAGTGATTCCGGAATCGCTCAGCCTTAATATCACAGTGATCGGCTCAGGCTTACGACTGGATGTAACTCCGGGACGGAATTCCTGGTATTGGACGGATCCGGAATCGCAAGGATTCGGAAGGAATTCCGCGGAATTCCTAGTGATTCCGGAACCGCTCAGCCTTGGTATCACACTCATCTGCTGACCCTTATAACTGGATGTGATTCCGGGACGGAATTCCGGGTATCTTACGGATCCGGAATCCCAAGGATTTGCAAGGAATTCCGCGGAATTCCTAGTGATTCCGGAACCGCTCAGCCTTCGTATCACACTCATCGGCTGAGCGTTATAACTGTAGGGTGTGGCTGTAGTTGCGGGTGTGAGGTGTGGGGTGCGGATGAGCGTGTGAGTGTGGGTGCGGATACCTTCTCATCACACACACACGCCTACACACCCGCATCCACACCCATACCTACCCACACACCCACACCCACACCCCACACCCACACTCACCCACACCCGCACCCATACCCACACCCACACCCATCCACACCCACACTCACGCCAGCACCCACACTCACACCCACACCCACCCACACCCACACCCACACCCCCCCCCCCCCCCCCCCCCCCCCCCCCCCCCCCCCCCCCCCCCCCACCCCCCCCCCCCCCCCCCCCCCCCCCCCCCCCCCCCCCCCCCCCCCCCACCCACACCCACACCCCCCCACACCCACACCCACACCCACACACCCACACCCACACCCACCCACACCCACACCCACACCCACACCCACACCCACGCCCTACCGACACCCACACACACCCACACCCACACCCACACCCACACACCCACACCCACACTTACACCCACACCCACACCCACACCCAGTCTGTGCAACTACATCTAAATTGCGTGCATGAACCATTTAGTTTACACTATTGTGTGAAACGTGTATCTTTACCGCGGTTCACAGCCATTGGGAGCGATTGCAAGATTTTCTAAGAAAAAATTAGTTTTCATGCCTGTATTTGTTACGACTCTTACCATAATAAAGTCCTACTCGTTCTATCTTTCTTCACTGCTTCCCTCCTCTTCTTCTCCAGTTCTTATATTCTTTGCATTTCCTCATCGAGTATCTCACACATTCTTATGCCTCTTCTCTCTTGCTTCGTTTCTATTATTTTCTGATGCGTGCTTGATATGTCAAGGTATGCAAGTGGAATTTTTTTGCGATGAGAGGAGAGCCATTCGGTGATTGATTTGGATGAAGGGAGACTGTTTGGAAGGGCTTGGGTGTGAATATGGATTAATAGAAGTTCTATACTCAGATTCGCCACCCACACTCTCACCCTCTACTCCACCAACGACAGATAACGAAGATTGATCAGCGACATAGATTGATCAAATGAACACGAATATTTCCATCATTGGTCATTCAAATAAAGGGTTTCCATCTGTTTTGTATTGAAACTATTCTATTGAGTGTAGAAAAAAAGACCATAATAAACAATCAGAAAAGTTATTCTCTAACCTCTCATTTATTGCCTCTCAATCCTTTATCTCTTACGTAATTTGTAATAGATTTTGTAAGCTTATCTGTGATCTCCGGATCATTTGGATAGTTTACATAGTCATAACCATCTGATGAGACCCTTTAGCAAAGTCGAAACGCGTCATGATTGC